TGCCACTAAAGCTTTGAAATCTTGTCTGCTGAATGAAAGGATAATGTAAGGTTTTATTAACAATGAATAACTGTGGAAAACCACAGAAACATTCTTAACAGAAAACTTTTTTTTTTTGGTAAACTGTTTTTAGGCAAAATTAGAGGGACTGAGTTAGATACAAGGATCACTGCTGTGATTCGTCCCAGCAGAAATTCTGATTCAGGCAGGTATTCCCCATGGGCCTTTCTAATGTGAAAGTGTAGAGAGAGATGAGCTACAAGTGACAAGGCTGTAAGCCCTGGGTGCACGGATTTGAATGAGCTGGAGGTACAAGGGGAGTTGGGAGCTCCTGTGGTCACTCACAGTGCTGCTCCTGTGGCCCATCTGACTGACAGCTGGCTTCTTCTAAGTAAATGCAATGATACAAGGTAGCGCATGACCTCTACCTTGGCTTGCATTGCCTCTCCATGGCTGTCTATGTCTGCTATTCTGCTCCCACTGAAGCCTCCTCAAGAGACCACGTGTTGTGGTGGTGGTGATGCCATGGGCGGGATGGCTCCCACCACGTGCCGTAGCCTGTCTGGGAGACAGGTTGTGCAAAAAGAATAACTAGGCGCAGCCCACCAGGCACAGGCACTTGAAAGGAGAAGGAACTTCTTGGCTCCTGCTGCCCCTGGCTCTTTTGCACATTTTCCTAATCCACAGGCAAGCTGTGAGCCAGGGACACTCACAGTCCCGCACCGACAGCTCCGAGGCCTCCTCGCCATAACTATTCCATCATCCCCTTCTCCATGAAAAGCTTCCTGAGCTTTGCACAGAGAGGAGGCACATACCACAAACCCCTGCTGCACTGTGGTTTTCACTCAGTTCACTGATACTGTCCTGCTGTGAGCCAGGCTCTGCCACGGCCCCCCTGCACAAATATCCGTGCCTGAGTGCCACATTCCTGCCTGCAGCTGAGGTGCAAGGACTGCTGTCCTGCAGAGCCTTGTGCTTCCTCACCATGAAGTTCCCAGTGAAGCTGGCTCTGGTTGAACCTCAGCAGTTCCATACTGCTGTCAGGCTGCTGGACAGCAGCAAAAAGTCTGAGTGTAGCAGACACCTGAGAGAAAAATAAAGCACAGGAGCTCCAACACTGTCTTAAAAATATCAGATGTGTTGTAGCCATCCTCATGGATGTACAGGGGTTGTAAGTGAGGACCATTCGGGGCACAAAGGCAAGATGCAAGTAGCAAAAAGGTCTGTGGTTGAGGTGAGCCACTAATAAAAAAATTAAAACAATAAAGAAAAAAAGAAATATGCAAACCCACAGTTTCCAGTCCTGATAAAGTGAACCTTGTCCATTTCTTTACAGCAGCTTTAATCCATCAGAATTACTTTATACATGGATACACTGAAAATATGGTGGCTCCATGATGTAATGGGATATCAGACTGACTCTCGGAAAATCCCTTGATTTATCATTTCACAGTTATGACTCAAGTCATAACAGGATCAGTTTATCTGCTGTTTAGCACCCTGCATGGGCTGTAGGCTCTGGGAGTTTCTCCCACCCACCATATCAGTTGGTTAGGAGCAGGATACTGCACTGTACATGCAAACTGCCTCAGGCATAGCTGTGCTGTAAATCACTGGCAGGTGAGAGAGGCATCACTTCATGGGCTTTACACTAATCCATCCCAATCTAAACTGGTGACTTAATGGTACAGAAAGCAGTACTGCTGCTTATGCTGCTATAAGCATGCATTTCTAGCTGAAGAAATATTACAACATTTATTTATCTGCACAGTACATTCCTTTTAACTACATACAGCTATATAAATCTCTACAGCAATTATTGGTTATGAGGTTTTTACACTGCTGTATAAATCTAGTTCCTGTTTTTAAATTCAGTTTCCATCATGGGATAATGTGTGAGGATTTCTCCTGTCTTAGGAGCAGTATCAAATACAATTTATGCTCAAAGGCTACAGCTCATGAAATCTACAGGGAATTTCAGGCAGAGGGAAGTACTCAACAGCATTACAGCAAATATTTAACACCTCTGGCTCATCTGGTTACCACAACATTTTAAATCCATATCCATTCAGTGAAATCATTCTTAGTTACAGCTCTCAGAGATAAAAAATTAGGATCAGTTCAAGAAACAAGATCCTCAGGCACATACACTAAATAAAACCAACAGAGAATTTCCCCCTAAACCTTACTGAAACTTCAGGAAAGACTTTCAGGTAATATGAACTGCTGGATGGACAAGAAAGAAAAGCATTAATAAATCCTTTCTTTAGATCTATAAACGTAATTCCTTCTGAAATTATTTAGAAAGCCATTCAAGATTCAAGCCCTAAGAGACTAAAGTTTGATGAATAGACGTTAATATACAACATTTAATTAATCACCATTTTGCTTAAATTTACCCATGAAAAATACTCACAGGATAAAACTATTCCACATATAAAAAAGTATAGCTAGATCAGACATTTCTCATCAACTGAAACCAAATAGATCTAATTCAGGTTTCACACTCAAATCCACTTTCCTCACCCTTTCACACACACAAAATGGAAAAAACCAAGGATAACATTCCTTTGTCATATTGGCCCCTGGGAACCATGGAAACTTCTGTGATGTAGTGTCTGTGAGTGTAAGTGATGCTCAAAAGATCAAAAATAGAATTATATAAAAATACACCTCCAAAAACCCTACAACCTTCAACAATATTGTCTATAGACATCATAACTACTCTTCTTTTGCCACTACCTTTACTTCTCAGCCTGCTCACCCTTGCCTAATTGGTTCTGGGTGTACTTTGGTTTGATGTAAAGTATGTAAGATGAGGAATAACAAATCACTTAATAACTTTTAAAAGACAGAAAGTGTGTTCAAATAGAGTATCAGACTTCACTGTGGACTTACAGTTCCTGTGTTTTTAAAAGTCAGATCTGCTGTATTATTTTAAACAAGAAACAAGATCAAGCCAAAAATCTCACTTTCAGAGCTTGATTTTATTTCCTTCCTTTAGTATTTTTTTTAGAAGTGGTAGTACAGTAAGCCAGTTTGGAGAGGTTTTGTCATTTGTTAACGTAAATATCTTTTATCTACTTTCAATAGAGAAGTAACCTACAGTGTTACTACTTATCTATCAAAATATAATATCATTTCCTCCAGGTTAGCCTAGAACATAGTAAGCTAGTGCTTTAAGGACTACAAAATTAATTTGCTGCAAAAGGCAGAAGTATTATTTTTATACAATAATTTAGGAACAGGATTAGCCTAAAACACTCGAGAAGTTGCCTTTTTGGGGTTTTCATCTTGCACAGTAACTGCATTTTCCTACGAGGCACTGTTGAGCAAGGAAGGAGGAGAACAAGCAGAGCAGCCCCAGTCCACTTATGCCAGCCAGTGTAAGGAGCAATGCAAACAGCCAGGCAAATATCTGTGTGTCTGAAGCTGAACATCATCTTCCCCCTGTTAGTTTACCTTTGGTCTCTGTCCAGATTCACATTTTCCTCAGGTCAACCCCATCTATGTGCATCACTTACTGAGTCTCACTCTCCTAAAGCGATACATGGGTCAGGGAAGTTTCCTTTTTTAAAACCCTCCAGAAGGGTTGAGGGACTGATGATGGAACGGATGCACAGCTCAGTGCAGTCAAGTACACCTCACACCTAGGTAAGGAATACTTATTTTTCCCAGACACATCATACTGTAACACAGTATGATGCAATGCAACATTAGATTACAGTGATTAAAATGAAAAAGAAACGCTGGAAAAGTGAGGCTGAAATACAGCTTTCCTTTGAAACAACGTTGTGTCTCTACATCTTAATAGAAACAAGATTACAAATGACTCACTTCATAAGACAGCATTTATTTACCCCTCTTTTACCAGGAGATTTTAGAGAGTCTGACTGAACTGGATCAATTCAATTCCATTTCAATACAACAGAAAGGCATTCATCAACTATGCCGTATTATTTTATTGTGAACTATGATGTGACATAGTATTTTTTGACTAGTAATAGGTCTGAGATCCCTAGATGTTCTCAGTGGTCTAATTTAGATTTAAAATTCTACAATTCTATAAAACATGGCATGTAATTTGCCTTTCCCTTCCTTTTCTCAATAAAAAAGTGTAGAGGAGGATGCTCTCAAAAACTGGAAAGCATTTTTGATGTTCTGTCCTTCTTTCTGTTGAAGAATTTTCTCCTAAATTTCCTCTTTATCACTGATAAATGCACTTCTTCATAGTCAACTGTTTTATAAACAGAAAACTGAGTTGAAACATGTACTAAGCAAACACCTCCACTTTCCTTTCAACATTATTTCTCGAATTATTTTTTTTTTAGTGTCTTTACATACCAAGTAAGATACCAAAAAAAAATTCAGAGAATCCTGGAGTGCCTGGATCAAGAAGCACTCCCATTCATCTCATCTTAGTCCTACTTATGGTGACAACGCTTGCTCCAAACAAAGTATTCCACAATTTTTACATCTGCTTTGCCCAGCAGATGTTTACATATTTTCTGTTTACATCTGCTTTACTCTCATCCTTGTTAACCATACTTGCAATGACGCATCAACCAAGATGATCCTGAAAACGCTGAGGTTCTGCCAATGCATCAGTGGTTTCATACATACATACATACATATGTGTAAGATATGAGATGCACCGAGGAACCCTTTAACAGTAGACTACACTTTTCCTTAGCCCCTCACTTTAAAACACTCCTAAAGCCTTTAGAAAAGTCTCATTTTTGAGACAGGAAGATTCTGTTGGTTAAATAAGTCTGCATTAGTGGGCTGTCATGGCATCTCCACGTTCACAAGTACACGCTCCTGCAAAATCAGCTTTACGAACATTTTGCAGTATTTATCATGGAAATGACAAGTCATAATCAGCTGGTTCTCTCTGTATGCAGAGGACCCCAACCACCCCCATTAAATCAATGTAAAACTCTTTACAGTGGCACTGCAAGAGTAGACAGAGACACAACAGGTTCACCAGAGCACTGTACCTGGTCAGCAGCGGGAATCGACTCCCACCTACGCTTCAGCAAGTACAGAGATTTCCGGCTCATGGTTTCGAATCTGCTCTAGAGGCTTTTTCCAGACTTGAGAAAAAGGCTTCTCCCAAACCAGTGTCAAGAACCTTATTTCTGACTCCTGTGCTTCATTGCAGATGGCAGAGCTCCCCGACGTACACAAGTTTTTGTGAGCTGCAAGGTTGAGACCGGTTACACCCGAGCTTCTCGCGTTTCTCTAAAGCATCTGTCTCCTCACAGTGCCACGACAAAGGGAGTCAGTGGAGACAGAGAACAGCCCAGCTTCCACTGACGAGCCACCTCGTAAAAGCCTGAAGTAGGTAGACAACACCAGACGCACTCAATCTGAAAATAGCTGTTGCTTAGGAACTGGAGGGGTAAAATGCAGCACCTCAGATATATAATTGAGAGCTTTTATATTTAAAGAGAATTAAAAGCGCCGGACCTGTGTTTCTCTCTCATTCTTTTACAATGCCGGAGGAACGATCGCTCGATTCCACTGACTCCGGGGGCTACGCCTACATCTCCAGCAAGCCAAACAAGTCCTGATGACAGAGCAACAAATTACTCCCACACATTCAAGGTCCCTCGTAAAAACGTGTGCACAAAGCGTGCCGTGGATCCCACCTGAAACATCTTAGAAGTATCAAGTACCGTGCTTCAGTAGAATGATTAAAATACAATTTGCATAATTTTTCTGCAGAGCAATAATATGCCAAGGATGAATTCTGCTAGTCACATTTTCTTGTAGCATGTGCTGACATTACAAACGGGTATGAATATTTTCCCCTCACAGGAGTGACACGATGTAGTTCTACAGACTGCATGTGTATATTTGAGAGAGATTTCTTTAGGTGGATTAAATGTTTAGGAATTTCTTTAATTTGGAATTCAATTTTGAAGTTTCAAGCCTACATTCTAAATTCTAGCCTGTATTAAGTTTGCAAATTAAGGACAGAACAGAATCAAATTCACTTTGCCCTTTCTGTTTGATTTCAAATCCATAGAGTAAATTCTCTGAGTGAAACACTTACAGAAGGAAGTGCTGTCTTCAGAGAAGAAAAAGGGAACGGAAAAAAACCCAAGTAGATAGCCAGGAACTCATTGATCTTTGCAAGGCAACCTATAATTCACTCTAATTACAGCAACCTTAATAGTATAATTATTCTAAAAGAAAAGGAATCCTACAACGTGCACACATACAGATATATATGTATGTGTGTGTGTGCACGCACGCAATATATTAAAAAGGGAAGTGTAATGACGGTGTAGAAGTCAGGAGCAAGTTAAATATTGTAAAGACAGCTTTTTACTTGTCCCATTTACATTCTATTGAATTGCAGATGCTTATCACGAGACAAACTCCTGCAAACAGAAATTCCCACAAGCCTTGCTGTATTTCATTTGACATCCATCGCTACCTGTAACTAAAGCACTTTGCATTTAACTCCTACATGCAGAAAGGAACATGTTTTCCAAGTGGGTCATTAAGAAGTGTGACATGCACTGTAGTAGTTTGCTCTCATGTTTCAACACATGCCATAGAAAACCTACTTGCTCTTAAAAAAATCTTCACTGGATCAGAGCTTTTTCAATGACTCTCGGAAGAATAACTTTATGAGTTCGTATGTGGATTTTAATTTTGCATTAAGTAAACCAGTGGTTCCACCTCCTGTTCTCACAAGCAATGCTTCTAACATTCACATACATAGGTGGCTTCCTAGGATCTATCTTCCCACTTTCCTCTCATTACTCCGCATGAATTAAAAGATCATAGAAAATTAATAAATTGCCTCCCAATAACCTAACCTTAAATCCCTTCCTGCTCCTTACTCTCCCCCTCACTGCTTGTTGGGCAGCACAGGTTGCACTACCACTGTCCAGGAGAGCCCTCTTCTCCCAAGTCCCATTTCTGTGCTGATGGAAAGCCCTCCTGACCTAGGGAAACACCATAAGCAACCTTGTGGTAGATCCTGCAGGTAACTGCCATTTTAAACACCTGATGTGTTAGGTTTGAAGCAGAAGTATACCTAACACATCCCTCACCTTCATTTTTAAGCAACATCTTGTTTAACAATGGGTACATTTATTAAAGACACAAGCTGGCAACAATGCAACAGAACCACAAAAGGATAAAACAGGTCTTTTATATTAAGGGTAAAAATCAGAACCTTCTAAATTTCTCATAACCTCTCAGGGAACTACTTAAATTAGGTTTAACACTCTTTCTATCAACACAATTTTCAGAGCCATGTAAAAGAGATAATCTGAGGCTACAGTGGAATAACTGAGGCTTATTTTCTTCCCTCTAATGAAACTTTTCTTCCTTGCTTCTTGTGACTGGGTACTAGGATAGCACGCAGTAATCAGAGATCTTGAGTCATTTTGGGATTCTTTATCAGGAACTGTAGTGATAGGACAAGGGAAAATGGCTTCAAACTGAAAGAGAGTAGGTTTAAATTAGGTGTTAGGAAGAAATTCTTTATTGTGAGGGTGGTGAGGCACTGGATCAGGTTGCCCAGAGCAGCTGTGGATGCCCTGTCACTGCAAGTGTTCAAGGCCAGGGTGGATGGTGCTCTGAGCAACCTGGTTTAGTGAAAGGTGTCCCTGTGAATGGCAGGGAGTTTGGAACAAAATTATCTTTAAAGTCTCTTCCAAACCCAAACTGTTCTACGATTCTAGGATTTTCTTTTCCCACCTTGTTATAGATCCTTTAACATTTCGATGGCATGTCTGGATCGTTGTACAAGGTATCCATATAAAAATCCTTCACCTCAAGTAAAAGCAATTCCAAAATACCAGAGCCCTAACTTATAGAATTTCAACACTAGACGGGAAAGACTGCTTTACCCAAGCAGGAAAATTCCTGAACACCAATACTGGTAGCAAAGTCTCATTCGCAGCAATTGTAATTCTATAGATAATTAAAAAATTTATCGGGTGATGCCATTTACACTACTAGCAAAATTTCCTTTCAGTGATGTGTCAAGGATGAACTACACATGGCTTTCCTGCACCTCCCCACACAATTCTAACACCTTGTTCAATAACAAAAAGATTAGTGGTGAGAGGGCTATCCAAGTTTTACAAGTTTGTCAGGTTTGAAAAAAAACCCAGCAAACACAAAACATACACATATTATTTGAAACTGCATCCCTTTGATGTCCTGATGAAGACAGATGAGCAAGAAATGCTTTCTCAATACATCTAATCCATCTTTCTGCTACTTAAAGAAACCTTCTGTTGCATGTATCAGCTCTGTATGAATCACCTGTTTGGATCACAGCTCAAAAATTATATTAATGAAAGCTGTCATGGTTTTATGCTTTGTTCCATTGATTCAATCCTGCAAATATTAACAAAACGAACAACTTTGCCAATGTCAGATGGAAAACTTTCTCGAATGCCTCAAATTTACCAAAAGCCAAAATGAAACACAAGATGCTGAGTAACTGACCTGTGAGCCTCTGGGTCCTCGTTTGTGATCCCATTCAGAATGCCCCATGAGCTGAAAACCAAAGAAAACCAGAGGTAAGAGATAAATTGCACTTATTAGCTTTAATTGAAACATTCATGCTTTTATATCCATGACACATTTTCTTTAAAAAAGCAGGTTAGCTTTTACCATTTATTTCACATAGCTTTTAGGTTCGTAATGAGGATGAAAAGATTTGGGAGTTGTTACTATCACATTGTACCTTTACATTCAGAGCCAAAACACATTTGGCATCACATCACTGCTCATGCCAATAAAATTCCCACTGCTGTAGATTAAACTTTAGCCAGATGTTTAATGCTGATCTGGCAGAAGGACAGATGATATAACAGTAAGGAAATTACCAAAACCAGGGGACATTTGATTAAACAGCACTGTATGCTTTATACCAAGCACGATAGTTAGTGACAGCTTTAGATCTGTTTCTCCACTGAATTATGGCTTTTTTTTACAGCTACTCAGAGATCTCTTCTGAATAGTGTTTGTTCATATGCACACAAGCATTGCTTAATGCAAATATAAAAACATATGAATGAACAACAGGAGGGTTAATGTGACATGTAATGATTTACACTTATTAATATTTTCTTGCTCTTTTGTCCCAACATTCTTTCCCAAAGAAAATGCCTTCTCCCAGGTCAGAGGAGGAGATTTACAACCTACGCTTATTGCAGAACATGTTTCCAAAACGCTCATTCCAAGACAAGAGATTAAAACTCCTTTGAAAAATGAGGAAAGCTGCATGCATCTCATATGATAAGGGTTTTTTATCTTCTCCATCAACTGTTCCTACTTATCCTTTCCTTTTCCAAGGAAATTTTAAGTTATTACTTACAGCAATCTACCTCCATAACTAGAGACAAACCATGCATGCAGATAGGCATCAAAGATCAGAAATGTCACACCATATTTTTACCTGATACGGCCTCATGACTGGTCTCTGCATTTTAGTGTAATTATTTCCTTTTCCATATACTGTTGGTGGAAACACTGGCTGTGCCAGGTTTCCCTGTTTACTCCTCTATACTGTTATGTTTGCTCACTACTGGTGCAAAGCCAAGATTTGATGTTTATGAAAGCTGGCCTCTCAGTAAATAACCAGCATGCAAAAACTACAAAGATGCATCTACCAAGGGTTATATTTTCACAGAATCTCAGCCAAAACCCTCATACCTGTGCTTCCTCCAAGGCTCCTGCTACTCTGGACTGAGAAAACCTCTTCAGTTTTACTCCTCAGCCCCCATGCCTTGTGAGGAAGTAACTCCCACTTTCTTAATTTACTTGGCTAAAGGGAAATTAATTTAGCTTGAGTCTGACCACCTGTGATTCCCAGCATGATACCTACAGCTTTACCTACAGCTTCCTACCAGTGAAATTAGCACAAAAAATATGCCTGTTATTTCACACTTAAGGAAAAAGTATTAATGTTACAGGCCTGCCTATGATCACTGTGGTTCTCCAGGCTCTACAGGCATTTGGCAGTACATACCACACCTTCAAAACCAAGTGTAGCATAAGAAAACTCCTTCCAGGTTTTGCATGCTCGTACCCTCACTAAATCCATAGTTCACTGAAAAGCAAAGGGCTGCTTTATTATTGCCACCAAAAATAAACAGTGCAGTCAAGGGTCAAGCTTGGCATTGTTGTTCCCACTAGAGGAGGTACACCAAGTGTAGGGATGCTCCCAGTCCAGCCAATCCCAGGAAAACATACTGACATGACCTGGGGTGGTTACTCAATCCTCAAACCCAAATCAAGTCCTCTTAAACATTCATTCTTCAGGCATGGTTTGTTCACACTGTTCCCTGTTCCTGCTTAGTGCTTCACATCTCTACAGAGAGCTTTCAGCCCCATAGCCAGCTCCTGCTCTGATCTGCTGCTCTGATCTGAGGAAGCTGGCTTCCTCCCCAGCTTGCAGGTGCCTTTTGTTTCCCTATCTCTAGTCATGCTCCTC